AAATGAAAACAATCGAACTGCTTGGTCCTGAAATATAAGCATTTAAAGAGAGTGTCGTTACGTGACAAAAATGGAATTCGATTTTTTCTTTTCTTACCAAATCGCAAAACTCTGCGAATTGTGGGTGGCTATTTTCATGAAACTTATTTTAATATGATTTGGAGCAATTCTGGTTGTTTTTTTGTAGAGTTTTTTGAATTAATGCAACTTGTTTAAATTTTATTTTACAACCCCAAGTGTGAAACGTCATGTGACGTGGCGTCACGTGACATAAATTTCCATCGTTATATTTTTGTTAATATTGCTTTTAAATGAATTTTTAACGCAAATAAAACATGTATTTTATGTCGAATATACTTTATATTTTGACTTCAGTGCCAATTCAGGGTGAATTTGTTGGTAATCTATGATTTATTATGTTTCAACTACATACGCCAAATTTGAACCAAATCGGACCATAAATACGGTTTTTCGAAATATCTCGACCTTGGCGCCACGTAGGAAGACCATTTTACGCAAACATGATTCTACTTACATAGCCAGTATATATTTTAAAAAGCAGACAAATCGGCCCGTAAATACGTTAGATATAAGACTTTTATTTTTTTTTGTCGTGGTGGACCTTCCGATGGAAACACCCATATGCCTTATTTCGGTTTTCAAACGAAAGTGTGCATATATGCATTATTTCGGTTTTTTCATATACGTTATTTCGGTTTTCAACCGAAACTGTGCATAGATGCATTATTTCGGTGTTTTTCACATGCATTATTTCGGTTTTCAAACGAAAGCGTGCATATGCATAATTTCGGTTTTTCTAATATGCATTATTGCGGTTTTCAACCGATACTGTGCATATATGCATTATTTCGGTTTTTTTCGTATGCATTATTTCGGTTTTTTTCGTATGCATTATTTCGTTTTTTTTTATATGCATTATTTCGTGTGCACAGTTTCCATTTGCACAATTTCAGAGTGCCGGCGCACGCCACAAGTCGGAGGAGAAACTCGGCCAAACACTAGCATATGTGTAAGCGCCAATCTATTATTATTATATTAGTATTATTAATTCTCTGCAGTGGGAAATTTTCCAGTACTTACTCGTAAGTATGCAATTAATAAAAACTTTTTATTCCATTTTTTGTAAAAAATATTTAGAATTCTTAGATTTTGGTATGTAAATAAACCAGGTGAAAACCCTGTTTATTCGATGGTAAAAATCAGGTTTATTCGGTATTCAAAAAATCAATATTTCAAAAAACCGCTGGAAATATGGAAGAAAACCAGTTGAAACTGGTTTGGAAAAACTGAGTCAATCACCTTACATTGTACCCTAGAAAAGAGCTTGAGTGTTGAAACCCCTCTCTTACAGCATTTTCTATACATATGCATGTATTTATTACAGGGACAAAAAATAACGCTTATTTTTTTGAACAGTTAAAATTGGCCAAATATTTTTTAAGGACGAAATAAAAGTCCTTTTCGGATAATAAACAAACCGGTTATCCAAATAAAGTAATTTGGTATCAAATGAAAGAGGACTGAAATAGCTTTTAAACAGAAATAGCGAACGGAGCGTACCAGCTCTATTTATATTTTTTTTTATAATTCAGTACAAAAGAAATTCATATACCTGACCCAAGGTTTGCCCTATGGTAAATAAATAACATTTTTTTATTGAAATATTTTTCAATCGGTGACTTTCCTCGTTTAAACATTTCAGTTTTAAAGCTATTTTTGTCCTCTTTCATTTGATACTAAACTTTTTTAAATTGGATAAGCAGTTTGTTTATTATTAGGAACGGACTTTTATTTCGCCTTAAAAAATATTTGGCCAAGTTTGACTGTTAAAAAAAAATAACTGTTATTTTCGGTCCCTGATTTATCAGCTTTATTATTTTTATTTGCATATTGCACGTTAAATAATATACAGAATTATTTCAAAATTTCAATTTTGTGGGAAAACGCAATCAAAGTTGTATCAATTCCTACAATTGGTATACGAAAAGACAGATGGAAATATGGATGGACAGATGGACAAATATCTTCGCCAATTTTGGGAGGTTTAGTAATCTGTTATGCTAAACATATTCTCCTTATCAAGCTAATTAATTCTATAATTAAATCTTCAAGAAATGGAAATTTTGAATTATATCTCTAAATTATTAAACGTGGGATATACTTTAGTAAGTTTGTAAGTTAATCGAAATATTAGATTTTGTTGATTAAAACTTTTCAGCCGATTGCTAGTATGGACTGCTGGAATGCCAAGAGCAGTGTTCCACCTGTTGCTAAGCAATCCATTCCCAGTGGGAAAATGTAATGTATAGTAATCAAAAAAATAATCAGTAAAAGAACCCTTTTCACATTCGAAAATGCATTTTTCCCCCACGGCGATGTCCTAAGAAAAGTGGGGCATTCAATTTTGCATTACCTAGTACACTGAGAAAAAGGATTTGTTTCGACAACTAAAAATATTTAGTTCCCGAATTTTGACAATATTTGGGAACTGTTACCAAGGATTGGGAACTATTACCTTGGGTTGGTAATTATAACTAAATATATTAAAGCTTCTAATATTCATCTAGGTTGTAACAAATCGTTAATTTAGTTGAAGGGTTTGGTTCTACAAATTCCATTCAACTTAACGTATGGTTCATAAAAGGATGTTATTAAGCTCTGCTAATGCAGATAAGCTTTCTTTCAACACATGGTTTAGTCATAGTTACCAAATCTTAGTTGAGGCAACCACGATTTGGTTTGAGAGTGGAACATATTCATGCTTGTGAGCCACCCCTAAATAATAGTGTGTTTCCCATACGAAGAGCGCCATCTGAGCAATGCGCACAGTCCCACTTATTGAACCGTTTGAATGCGCTAGTATGCCGACCATTGCATTGTGCGTGGAAATCATTGCTCCGCTACCGCTGTTCGTATATGGGTGAAGCACGCATGTGGTCCCAGAGCGCTCAGTAAGCTACCCTGCAAAAATCGTTGGACCATGTAGTTAGGGATGCAAATTTTGGGGAGTAACATCGATACATCGATGTTTGGATGCATCGGACAAATGAACATCGATGCTAAAATACATCGATATATCGATGGTTTCCGATGTTTCCAAATTTGTTAGGTTGTAGTCAAATTGAAAGGAAAATTTAATACTTTTCAATTCATACTCTCTGTAAGCCAATTAGAAAAATGCTTACATATGGATGTATTTCCCTGTATTTATTTACTATTCCTTTGCCCTTCCTATAAATATAATAAAAATGCATGCCGTCGTAAGTTCGCTGAGCCTAAAGTTCCAAGCCCCAAATTCGTTGAAACTTCAACGGGAACCCGGTCCTTTTTTAAACATTATGTACGCATTTTTAATATCGAAAGATAAGAGTATACACGGAATTTCTGAATTTTCCCCAAAAGAATAAGTAATAAAATTCATGGCCAGTCAAAAAATTTTAGGAGCATAATGGGTAAGTTGAATTCAAGTCTGAATCACACTAAAGTCGATGTTAAAACATCGCTGAAACTGGCATCGATGTATCGTCAATTTAGCGATTTTAGGAAATTGTAAACATCGATGGCAAACATCGAATTTAGAACCGATATTATCGATGTTTCAAAAATATCGATGCTTCGTTTGCATCCCTACATGTAGTCTATTTGTGGTATATTGGAGTACTTACAAAAGTGCTCCTCTGTCATGCTGTAGCGGACCAACTCGTGTCTCTGCACCAGCTTATTGTTACCAGATCACTGCTCGTGTTTTAACGAAATGTGATTGAAGTTAAGCATTTGAAAGTACATTTGCATGTCTAGCTGTAGCTGAACGTGTAGAGATGCTCGCTGTTAGTTCTTAGCTCCCAGCATGTTCGGGATCGAATGTCGTCAGAGGCAACATGTAATTTTTAATTTTTGTTTTTGGTTTTTATTAATTTCAAAAAAAGCATCTGTGAAGTGAAGAACAAAAGCGTGACAAGCGAAAAAATATAACGACAATGTCATTGGAGTATGTTGGGAGTAGTTTTGTGCTACTCTGATGTAATGCAGAGATGGAGTATATGGTCCTGCCCTAGGACATTGCAATGTTAATTGGACCATATTTTTTATATGAATTGTGGTTAATTTTGGAGTACTCCTTGGTCCTTCGGGAGTACTCTTTACATGCATGCATGGAGTAGTCGCGATTTTTGCAGGGTATGACATGTCGATCGCTGCGCTAGGTAGAGAAAGAAAAGTGTGTGGTATGACATGTACAGAATTGTTTGTCTCAGTTTCAGTTTTTCTATCACCGCGAGTTGTTTCGGTGCGCGCATAGTTATTTAAGAATATAAAGTTTGATGCCAACCGGGGGATATCAGTGGATATATGATTCATGTGAATTATAATTTGAAAGTGTCTCTTTAGCCAACGAAAAAGCAAAGCACGTACGTATTTTTTATGCTTAATATATGCAAATAAAAGAAGAAAGTAAACACAACAAACATCGAGTAAATTTTTATTTGTGTCAAACTGAAACTTTTTTTCCAATAATAAACGGTTAGCTGATTCAAGTCTACAGCAAGTTAACAAAATTAATTGAAAACTTCTATAAACCAAAGGATTGTTTATATTTGCTCAGCAATGATTTTATTCAACTAACAATATTGTCCAATCAAGGTAGTCGTTTTGTAATTATTAACAAATATACATTTGTCCCAACTAGATGTCTCAAGTAAATTGCAGAGTTTCGTGAAGTATATATTTATTTCGCCATATCCAACTATGCCACTTGATCACTATAACCAAATCTTGGTTATTATAACTATACCTTTTTTTGGGTGTATCGAGAAATGAATGTGTTTTAATATGAAATTTTTGGAACTTTTTGATTAAATTAAAATGCTGATTACATTGTTAGCAGTAATATAATCAATCAATGTCAATTAGACTTATTTGTAATGATAACCATCTTTCTACATAGAATTGTATGAAAACTAATTACTATTTTATTTTTTCAGGTATGGAAAGAAGCCGTGGTGCAATGTTTTTTTTCTCTTGCAGTAGGCCTTGGTCCAATCGTTATGTTTTCCTCGTATAACCGCTTCGATCATTGCATTTATAGGTACTGGATAATACACAATATGTATCCCACTCGGAAAATAGGTAAGCACCTTACGAGGTAATCCACGTTTTCTTTCAGCTTTAAGTACCGAAATTGTCATCATGATCAATGTAAGCTACTAGTAAAGCACAAAATGAACACCTCCGATGGCGCCTTAACTTGTCAGTTGCAAAATAAGGTGCCGCCGAAGTTATGTCCGTAAGGACCTTACTGTGTAAAGTGGCTCAGTAGTATGCCTGATACCAAATGTACATTCTAAATTCCTACTTACTAGGGATGTTTCGATGCCATATTTTTCACATTCGCGAATGCGTATTGCTTTAACAAAAATGCCAAAGGATATCTTAGTTTTATGTAACTATCATTTGAATAAATGTGACTTAACTTTTACGAACGATGTATTTGTGTTGTAAAATATGATTTATACGCTTTTGTTTTCAATAAAAATGAGGTTTCTATGATCTGCATAGAAATATGAAAAACTATTTAAAGTTGAGACTGGTGTAAAGTAATTATGCAAGAAATAAAAGTTTCCATAGATAAAAATTACAACTCCCCTTAATTTTTTTTCACAGGTTAATGAAATGTAGTCATTTAAAAAGCGGTTACTACTGAAATAGAGATAATTAGGGCATATTTAAATTTATGTCGTTTTTCGTTTTTCAATGGATTGACCCTCTAATAGTCAAAGTTCAAAAGGGGCATATTATATAAAAAAAAGTAATTTTGCTGCCCTTTTCCCATGGGGCGATTTCTTAGAGGCTCGTATATAAGGCCGGCTGCACTGAATAACTGTTCACTTGGAACGCTTGCGGGTGGAGCGCTCAAATATTTGCGGGCCAGATCTGTCAATTTGTCGTATTTTAGTTTAGTTTTCCACCAGTCGAGAGGATTTTCACCGAGATGAGCTCGTTTTTCTTTAGGATAGGCCTTCAATTGAGCTTTAATTTCACATTTTTTAATATCTTCAGATTTAAAATCCGAGCCTTCGCCTTCGCTGGAGGAATCTAAAATTATTTCTAGGTTGCTTATAAGACTTTTAGCAATACTTGTTGAATAAATGTTGCTTGATATACTACTTAACCGTTTAGCGCCTGAAGCTAAAAGCCGGTTGTTGCCGTCACTGTCTAAAATCTAATATATAAATTTATGGTATGGTATGAGAATCGGATGTAAAGTATATTTCATATCGCTAGGTGCAGGGGGCGTGGCACCTCCCATACACATCGAATTTTTCACACTGCATATCTCTGAAATTGTTCATGGTAGAGTACTGAAACTTGGTATGGAGATATATGAAACAAATCACATTGTCATGAAGAAAAATTGGGGCTATTAGAAAAAGGGGCGTGGCACATATCATACAAACCGAGTTTTCATACTGCATAACTTTGGAAGTGTTCATGGTAGAGTACTCGAACATGGTACGGATATATATGAAAACATGGAGAAAAACTGCGGTTATTGGGAAAGGGGGCATGGCACCTCCCATACAAACCGAATTTTTCATACTGCACATCTCTGGAAGTGTTAGTGGTAGAGTACTGAAACTTGGTATGGAGATATATAAAATCAATCAAATGGTCATGAAGAAAAAATGGGGCTGCAAACCGAATTTTTCACACTGCATACCTCTGGCAATGTTCACGATAGAGTTCTGGAATTGGGCATTCAGGTTGTTCTTTCCTAAAAAATTGTCTCTATTTTTTTATATGAAAAATCTAATATATAAAAATATCGTGTCACGGTGTTTGTGGTCGAACTCCTCCTAAACGGCTTGACCGATTTTAATGAAAATTTTGTGTATATTCGGTAGGTATGATAATAGGTTGTAAAGTATGTTTCATAACGCTAAGTGAAGAGCGCGTGGCACCTCCCATACAAACCAAATTTTCCACACTGCATATATGCATATGCATATACTGCATATCTCGAAGTGTTCATGGTAGAGTACTCGAACATTGTATGGAGATATATGAAATCAATCTCATACTCTTAGAGAAAATTTGGGCTATTTTATAAGGGGGTGTGACGCCTTTCAAACATACTGAAGCTATTACGTATCTTTGTATGCATATACACTTTTGCTAGGTTATTTAAGATAGCAATGGAAATATGCCTTCTGACAACCACCAAACCGTAATATTAGAAGATAAATGCGTCACTGAAAATCATGAACGTGAACTGTTGGTGAAAATGTTGGACCAAAATGTTTCAATACAAAAAATTAATTTTGGGCGGTACGAAGTTCGACGGGTCTGCTAGTAAATTATATTATACTAGAATAATCTAGTACTTTAATTTTTATCGATAAATTAAAATGACTTCTGTCACGAGTCGTAAGACGAGTTGTATGATTGCGCCAATTGTACTTTAGTTAGTTCGTGCATAAAGTGGCTCAAAAGCAATTAATCAAGATCTCGTCATACGTCCTGGTTTTTATACCTTAAAGTATGTATAATTTAACGATTTCATATTCCGTAAATTGATTTAATTTAAGTTTATATCCATAATAGGATTTTTAACCTACATACATGTGGTGAAACTATGCAAACTAAAACTTGAATTCACATCCAGCTGGCGTAGGTTTTCGTTCAAAATTCTAAGAAAATCAGGGCGCTTTCGTTCCGTTGAGAAACCGGTTATTGTCCGCACCTTGGTTAGACAGACTTAGAGCCATTTAAACAATATTAGAGTGGACTCTCTGCCCATGTACACATTCGCATTCGCAAAACATTCGTATCATTTGATTCGAATGCGTATGTGTAAAATGATGCGAATCATTCGCATAACGAATGCGAATTCAAATGTTCGCAACATCCCTGCTACTTACATAAGGCTGTCACCCCTTTGTTACACCCGATTTACATGATTCAAGTACTTGAAAGCAATTCTTGCTCATTCTCTTTTGTGTTTTCTATTTGCTTTTACACGTTTCAATTCTTTTGAATTCAAGTTTTTGGTTCTTTAAATGGGAAGCAACGAAAATGACAAAAGCAAATCAAGAAAGTTGAAACGACTTGACAGTACAGACGCATGTGTACTCGTCCCTTTTCTTCTCACCCCCTCTCTTCCACATGCGAGCAGAATTGAATATAATACTTGAACTGCGTAAAAGCAGTCTTAAAGTAAGGCAGATTCGGCAGGGAAGTGGTAAGGACCGTCGGGTGAAGTGTAAGTTGCTTACCTTACCGGCTGTCGATTTGATGCGAATTTTTTCGAATTCTCAACAAATTACACTGTACGACACCAAAAAAATACCTGGGAAGTTACTTATATTTTCTGGTAGATCTTTTCGAGTAAAACAAGAATCGAAATATGAAATTTTCCAAACACCCCCAAATTCTTGATTTACAGTTAAAACCCGGTTTTTCGTACTTTTGCGCATTTATAAGCCTGTAACTTAGTTGATTATGAACCGAGTTTCAGTTTATTGCCGGGTTTAAAAAGAAATTTGGGCTTTTCGAACGATATACATATATGCGAATAAAGAAACCGTAAGGGATCTGTGTGTATTTACCCTGCAAACACATTTTTTTTTTAAAGTTTGGGAGGTTTTTACGCACTATTTTATAAGAAAACCATACTAGTCGCTAATTGATTGTAAAACTAAATTTAATAACGAAAAAGCTAGTATTTATTTTCAAAAACCGTACGAAAGTTTACGGAGTTATACAACTTTTTATGAAAACACAATTTTTCAAAAATATTATTATTGACTATACTACTCGAAAATGTTTCCTTGACCGTTTTTTGCTTAATTCAGCATCATCAGTTTCTCGTTGTCGTGACCAGCAATGTTCTGAAATCATTCTAATTTCATTTTTTCCTCCGAAACGTTTTGTAATTGTAGCTATTTCTTGGTGAAAGTGTTGCCTTGTTCATCATAAGTGCGCAAAAGTACGAAAACCCGGTTTGTTTTCAACGATAAGTCAAGATTTTGGGGAGGTTTGGCAAATATCATATTTCGATTCTGGTTTTACTCGAAAAGACCTACCAGAAAATATATATAACTTCCCAGGTATTTCTGCTTTATTCTTTTTTGAAGCACTGTGTTATTTTACTGAAAATTTAAAAGTTTGTTTGTAAGAATGATAACTCAAATCGAAAAAGATTCAATTGAACTTACATACATTAATGTCATTATTTATCCGTATCGCTCTTCTTAGCTTTCCAAACAAAAATAAATATGAACAAATAAGAAGTATGTTTTCTCAAATAAATATCAGAAAAAAATCCGGAAATGTATCATATATTTCTTCAGTATCAATTAAAAAGGTTAACAAAACGTATATTCATCATGGTTCCGTCCGAAAACCTTTTGACTGCCAATCACCTGGGAGTGGCCGGAAGCGATTCTTATGCGTACGGTTCAAATTGCAGCTCACAACGTCCGGATATGTATATCCACGTATCCTCTGGAAAGCAACCAAACACCCGTTTGGGGGGGAGCTAATGTGAGAAGGCGTAAAACTTCGCATGGGCTGGGTTTGGGTCCCGCCTCGTTAAGACCCCGCCCAATGAAGAAAGAGGAAAACATCGCATTAGACACAATGATGACGACCACAGCAAACGTATAAAGGGCTATGATTTGAGGGTATAAACCTGAAATATCCGAACCCTTAACGGGAAAGGTGCCCGGATGGTTGATGTCCACGGGAAGACTAAGGCTGACGGGACAAAGCAAGGTAAGCCTGGAGCCTTGCGACGTCTACTATATTTGCCATGTAAAGGAGTGCAAATTTGCTGTTGGATTTGTGGTGGGATCGAAAACTGAGAAACCAAATCGACCATATTGTGATAGACGGAAGGCTTGATTCTAGTGTTCGAGATATATGTACACTCCGAGGGCCAACCATCGACTCGGACCACTATCTTGTTGCAGCCAAGAAACGCACCCGCCTGGTGCAGCAAAAAATATCCGCCCAACGATTGCCAATTTATTCGCCACTCTACTCACACACCTGCTCTCTGAGAGCACTCTTCAACAAACCGATACG